GAAAAACTTCATTTTAGGCCTTCTGGAAGTTTTAGATATATTACTGAGTGTGAATACAAGCTGTAGTCTAAACAGGTTTCAGACAGGTGTAAGAAATGGAAAACAGGAGCAGCAGCTCTATACCAGGACTCTTTACTGAGTCAATGTAAAACTACTACAAGGTAAAATATAGACTAATGTTTGTTACAAACTTCAAATAAAATATATCGAAGGTTTTTACAAGTTTCATATGTCCATGCTGTGTTAGCGGTTGTGTATGCAGTTGTGTTAGCTTAGTGCTAACGAGTCATACCAGTTTTTGCCTTGGTTTTTGACAGAGTTTTGACATTTATGACCTGAACTGAAAAACTAAAGGTTCACCAAACTTTGAAAATGTCCATTAATGAAGGGCTTTGTGCATCAGTCTCTAACTGTATATCAGAAAAGTGAAGAATTTCCAATAAAGTGGCTGGTGAGTGTATAATCCAGTGTAAATCTTCATTGCTGTTGTTGTTTCTGCGCTGATGCTGAGCAGGAGATTAATGCTGTGGTTCGCGGCTCTGAAGATCCTACACACGGCATTCGTGTAAACTTAAGTAACATGATTCATTTACTGAATTAGTTAGGAATAAATTAGCAAATGGCATGAGTGCATGACTAATAGTGAGGACTCCAGCTGTGCTTACCGAGTCGACTGCAGAATATTAGTCTGTGAATCATACTAGCGGCACTGCCATTCACCAGGATCCGCCGCCCGCCTCCTTAAGTCGCTGGCTAATTCCCCATCCCTGGAAAATCCTCATTATGCCTCTTGCGCAGCTTTTCTGGATGGCAAGGTCACTGTGGAGCTTTCTGCAAATCTACCTTTCACAGCCTTGCGTACCCTCGAGCTGAATTCACAACTACCAGCCTCAGCTTTTTCACATTGGGAAACCGTTCTGTTCTCTCTTTTCCCCTCCCTTTTCCTCTTGGGTGAGATTACCTGGCTCATCTCGTTTCCTGGTGAGAAGAGGCATTTCTTTGAGCTACGGAGGTGTGAGGTGGCCTGAGAGAGCAGAGCGCCTTCTCGCTTCACCTGCCCATCTCCTGCACAAGCTTTGAAGCTTTATTTGTACCTGAAAAGAGGTTCTGTCTAATGTCTTTTCCATGGTGCTTGCAGATTTGGGTCCCCACTTGCTCTGCACAGTATTCCCAGGCACTGCGGTCAAGATGACATGCACAAGGTTTCAGAAACACCTACCATGGATTTCTACTCATAGGCCACTTTAGTAGAACTCCTACCTTGTGCTTCCACTCACTGGCCACTTTGTTAGAAAGACTCTGTTAGCAATTCCTTTAAATTTTTCTGCTGGATTGCGGTGAATTCTGCTGCTAAAATAGATACGTCCCCTCTAAAATGTGCCCATAAAGTCCTTTAATCCACATTCTGTTAATATGTAGACTACAATCTGTAACACAAGTTCCCACCCACATTTAGCCCAAAATTACTTGTCAGGTTTCCATTATGAGATTATGTTGAGAATGGTCCATCACCCCAAAAAAAAAGAGCACCTCTGTGGTCAGAAATTGCCCACTGATGAAGGGCTAGGCAGTGGGCTGAGGGCCAAAAAAAAAAAACAATACACGAAAAAAGAAGGCAGGAGTTTTTCTAGACATGTTTTATACAGTTTATTATATAAATAATACATATAATAATATATTATTAACATGCTTAAAAAATACAAAAAGGAAAATAAGAATTTCAATCAATTCCATCCAGAAAATCACTGTAAAACTGAATGCTTTTCTATCACTTGCAAAAATCTGAACAGTTTCCATGCTGGAATTTTCAGATATCTCATCTGATTCAGCTCAAGTGAAGGATGAAAAACCTTAATTTTAACTGACAAGCCTCGGCGCCACTTCTGTTTTCACGAGACGTCTCCCGAGTGTCCTTTTGAGGTCGGCACCGCTGTCCCTGCGCAACCGGTGAATTTCCTCATGGGACTGCTCTCCATTTACATTCCATTATTTAAATTTCCTCTGGAGCAGGAGAATTAATGACTCGGGCCCACTGATGAGCTGCCCCGTCTAGGCCATCACTTAATTAGAATAATCTATCTCTGTGGGTCAGCATGCATGAAAGGGAGGGGGGAAGCGATGGAAGAATTTCATTAGAAAAGTTCATTATCAAATAAATAGGCCTCAGCCCTCCAAATCACAGGGAGCCAGTTTGGAAGGAGAAGCGCTGCTGTCTTTCCATTAGAGTTCCACACTTGATTTATCAGCCGAGGTGGGGAGGGCAGCAAGGTGATGCTGATGCTGGCATTTGTGACTGGACCATGTAGTATCTAGAATGGGAATGAGGATTGATGCTAAGTGATGGCCTCAAAGCACAATTTCAGAGCATAACAGCCAAACCGAACCTGCACCAATAGAAGTTGACCAGTGAGCCATATGACCTCCTGTCAACGTTTTAATGTTCTTCAGGTTGAAAGGTGAAATCACTAAAGATTGCATTGATTAATTCTTTTACACATAGAGGCCTATAAGTCAACCTAAAACTCATTTTTAGCCCCCTTTTTTTTGTTATTTAGAATTAATTTCAAAGAATTATTTTTGTTCATTGTGGTTCTCTCACTACAATACCCAGCATGCATCACACAAACATGTCACATAACCATTGGGAATCCCTGTGGTGTCAACCAGTTGTGGCTGCTAGCCTAGCTAACTTATCTATAGGCTAATAAATATAAGCTAGCATCAGTGAAACTCTTACCTCAGCGCCTCTACTTCCTACGGAGACTGAAGAAAGTTCATCTCCCCCCTCCCATCCTCACCATGTTGAACAGGGGGACTGTGGAGAGCATTCTGAGCAGCTGCATCATCGCCTGGTTTGGGAATTGCACCGCCTCTGACCACAAGACCCTACAGCGCATAGTGAGGACAGCTGAGAAGATCATCGGGATCTCTCTCCCCTCCATCATGGACTTTTACACCACACGCTGCATCCGCAAAGCCACCAGCATCGTGAACGACCCCATCCATCCCTCACACGGACTTTTTTCACTGCTGCCGTCTGGCAGAAGGTACCGGAGCAACTGTGCTGTGTCGGTGCTACACTGTCTGGTCTGTTTACTGTGTCTAATGTCTGTTTAATTTATTGTATTTATTGTATAGTTTCTAGCTTAATTTTTGTTTGCACACTGTCTGCACATTCGCACTTTGTAATTTTGTACTTTTTGTTCCTTGTTGCACTATGTTGTTCCTGGAGGAACGTAATTTCACTCCACTGTGTACTTGTACATAGATGGAATGACAATAAAAGCCTCTTGACTTGACTCGGTTGTCGAAAATAGCTTTTTACCTGAATACCTGCATTTTACACCTGGGTGTGGATGGTAAGGTATTTTGATAGCTTGTCGTCCTGGAGATGTTGGATGTCCTAATAGCAACATTTAGCTATTTGCCTTCCTTCTGCTTTAGCCAGCTGCAATATGTACCCAAAGCAGTTGCGGTCTTCAAAAGACCCTCCCACCTTTAACATATGTCACTAGAAGCGGGGGTTTCCAAGAGAAACTCATTCTAGAGACTACTGCAGCATGTTTACAACAGATGTAGATGTATCAATGGTTACATTTCAAACTCCAGTACTTAAACCCTGAATTATTCATTTAACCCAGGAGCCGGCTATAGACTATAGAAGACCATAGGCAATGTTTTATCTTGTAGGTCACCCCTTTCCCCCCCAGGTCAATCTGACTTATCTTAGTGTTTGTAATCTTAATAGGTTATTTTTGTGATGTTTTTGCCCACTGTGCAGCATAGAATATCTGGACACAACCAGCTGATATATGGGTCTCCGATTATGCAAAATGGCCACATCTAAGCAGGGCTATTTCTGAACATATTACATATGAAAACATAAAAAATAGCATAAAGTGCTATCACAGTCAATTTCTGTCATGTTAGATCTACCCTAGCCAACCGTAAGTGCTATTATTGTGAAATGGAAGCATCTAGGAGCGACAACATCTCAGTAACTAAGCAGTAGACCATGAAAGCTCACATAGCTCTCAGCTGTGTAGGTTTTGAGTGAAACATTGAAGAAAAAAGAAACTCAAATCAGCAAAAAAGCCTGTTTGCAGTTTAACTTACTCGCTTTAATACAGCTACATACAAAAATGAAGACTGTTGCTTGATTTTCCTAACAAGTGAGACACTGTGACAAAATTTGTAAAAGTGTAAATGTACGTTTTCTTAATGATAGTAAATGTCTGTAAAGTTACCTAAAGTTCTTAGAAATACTGCCTTTTACTGTAATTCACAGGTTCACTAGTTCAATTAGTTATTCTAAAGTACAGGATTTTATCATAGTAACAGTAACAACCACTTAAAAAACAGCAAATGTCTGTTTTTGTATATTCTATTTCTGTAAATTAAAATCAGTGGTGTTAAAATATATATATGTATTGCTTGTTTACATGCATTTAACCTTTTTTTGACCGTTACATTTTCAGTGTAGAACACTAAAAGATGTTTTGCAACAACTACGAATGTAAGATTTACAGCAAACTACTATGTAGACAGTTGATTCACAACACAGTAGAGACATTATGGCTTATATTACAAATAAATTAGCATACCTGCAGCTCTTTCTCTTTGGGGTGCTTATTTTATTCTTTTGCAGTGCCTCATTAATGTTCCCGCACTGTAGGAGCCATCATAACATTAGCAGCAGTAACTGCTCTCCGGTTTGGGTGTAGGTGAGCTGTCCTTGGTCAACACAGGCCTATCGGATCTCCTCAAATTTGAATAGGGTGTGTGCAGTGACACTGGTTTTGTAATTAGCAACGACCATCCAATGTATCTAATAACAAAGTTAATAATAATTTACACTGCTTGATGCAGAACAATGTTGTGGAGGCCCCCCAGCATTGTGGAGGCCCTAGGCAATGGCCTGTTCTGCCTATAGTTGGCCTCCAGCCCTGGGATCATATACTGAGCCCGGCACTGTAACCAAATACAAATAGACCACTCGGGAGGGTTGCAAGTATCTTTTATTCAAATTCACACATAATCGATCACATGATCCATGTCAGGAGGAGGGAGCGGATTCTGCTAGAACAGGAAGGAGTCTGCTCCCTTAAAGGGAAAAACGCACACATCCACACCCACACATCTTCGGTGCATCACCGAGCAGACTGGATGACTCGAGCTTTGAGAAGAGCTAAGCAGTCTTCGTAAGTTGAGAGTAATGCCAACAAATCATTCGTGCACAAAGTCATTTTAAATATACACAACATTATATACATTGAGCTTCTGATAAGCTGCCGCATAAATGGCCTGCAACTCTCAGTAGTTTTCTGGACAGAGGTTAGACTTGAAATGGGGTCAGACTTCAAATTTGGGTTCTCCGTGGAAAGGAATAACAATTTTTCCCAGAAAATCTATTAGCTTTAGATTAAAAAAGTTTAAAAGTCCCTACTGTGAATAGCACAAAACCCACCAAAACATAAACAGTTGGAATTAATTATGCTAAATATTTGACAAAAACAAATATGTTCCATGAAATAAAACATTTTCAGAAATGTGTAGCATTGAATTCAAAGAACAGTCCAGTGTTTTTCCTAGTTCTCAGTTGTTCTTCTACAATAAGACACACCAAAATCATTTGGGACGAATTGGAACACTGGTTATGAGCCAAGCATCAGTGCCTGACCTCACAAATGCACTTTTGACTGAATGGGCACAAATTCCCATGGACACACTCCAAAATCTTATAGAAAGTCTCCCAGAAGGCTGTTATAGCTACAAAGGGGGCCATATTAATGCCCATGGTTTTGGAATGGGATGCCCAACAAGCTCATATAGATGTGATGGTCAGCTGTCCACATACTTTTGGCCACACAGTATAGTTGTAAAAGACCGATTTGAACATGAAATTGGACACAAAACAGTGCCTTTAAGCTTAAGACATATTCATACTCAACACTATTATATTTTAAGCTTAATGACAACAATAGGCCTCAGGTTCAGGGGGTTCATATAAGAGATCTGGTCATTGGTAGGTTTGTTTTTGTATATAAAAGGCTTGAGATGCTTAATATTCTTTTCTTTCATGTTTTAACCTTAATATTCTTGAACCTGACTCTCAGTATCCATTATAATGCACATTATGAAATAAATAACAACAAAGATTCAGACACAAAGGCAAACATAAAGGCATTCATCTGCACAGATACATTATTCATGAGAGAATAAAAATAAACTCTTTTCTAATAATAAATAGTCTAATTTATTTCGTTATAAAATGACACGTAGCTCTTATGACATCTTAGTTACTTTAAATGGCTATAATAGGTTTATAGTTACACATAAAAGAAGTTTTAAGTTTGTGACGGTCACCACTGAGGAAGTAGGCTTGGAATATATGCTTTTTCTTTAAATAATCTTCAAAAGAATACATCATCACAACACTTTTAAAACTAGACTGAATCTCTTAATAAATGAGCGTAACCGATTCAAATGTAGTAGCTGCATGTTTACTTTAACCCTTTATTAAAGACATAGCAAGACATGTGCTGCAAAAGACCCTGTTGATATGCCCACATCTGTTTACATCTCCAACAGGAAAAATGCCCATGTAAAACTGTCCAAAGATGTGAGTAATATCGCGGAATGTGAGCAGATTGTGGCTCTGTTTGCTGTTTTTCTCTTTCCTTGTTGCTCTCGCAGTAAAAACGTATTTAATAACAATAAATTTGGCTGATTTTTTTTCTTTTTCTCTTTCTTTTTTTTTTTGCTAGATATTGCTTAGCTGGGTAAAAGATAAAAAATTCTTTGTTTTGGTCATGCACACAACACTTGATTGACTGAATTTGATGCAAAGATTCAGTTTATCAACCCACACACAAACCACCGGGAGGTGACAGAAAACATGGTTGTAAATACAGTGGTGAAAGTGGCGCTGTCCATGGTGCTCCCTGTCCATGGTCCCATAGATTCAGTCATGATAACGTAGTGCTTGGGAAAGTAGCAGCAAAGTATGACAACAACTTGTAGGCCAACTCGATCGGAATGAACAGAGTCTAAAGAAAAAACAAACAAAAAAGTTTCCTGTTTGGTCTTTCTGGTCAGGCCAGAGAGATGAGGACATCAAGATGTAAAAAGGGAGGAGATTGAAATAGAGAGGGAGAGAGAACGAGAGACAAAGAGGCAGAGAATTCAGGGCAAGCTGATCGAACCTTGTCTGACATCAATCCAACAGTTTCGTTATTCCACTCAACTTCACTGGACGCATAACTGGTTCTTTAAGCTGTAGGAGAGACAGAGACAGAGAGAAAACATCAGAGGATAGATTGAATACTAAAGAAGTCCGAAGTAAACTTAAGTGCATGAGTTAGAAGTAAATAAAACCAACGACATTAAAAAACTAGAGCTTGGGCCTGATATTTTGGTCCAAACGCAAATACAACCTGATAACTTTCTGTCTGAGTCTGACCCCAAAATCACATCATTAGGTTTTTAATACAAAAACCTGACCCATGTCAAAATTTCCTTGTCTGAACCCGACTTGAGCCTGACAAAATTTGATCCGAATCAGATATATGTGATCAAGTTTTGAAGTACTGACCAAATTTTGCCCAAAATTCAACTCCCACCACATCTGGTTTTGAGTCAGAACCCAAACACTGACATAGTTTTGTGAGGACAAAACCCAACCCATATCAGTTTTCTTGTCTGATCCTGACCCAAGTCCCCACAAATTTTGGCTGAATCCGACTCAAACCACATCAGGTTTTGAGTATGAACCTGAGCACTGAAAAACTTTGTATGAATCTAACCCAAACCATATCAGGTTTTGGGTCTGAACCCAAGCCCTGACAAAATTTCGTCCAAACTTGACCCAAATCACATTAAGTTTTGAGTCTGAACCTGAGCATCAACAAAATTTTGTGAGGACCCAATCAGACCCATTTCAGTTTTCTCGTCTGAACCTGACCCAAGCCCAACAAAATTTTGTCTGAACCCAACCCAAACCACATTATGTTTTGAGTCTGAACCTTAGCCTGAAAAAACTTTGTATGAACCCAACCCAAACCACATCAGGTTTTGGGTCTGATCCCAAGCCCTGACAAAATTTTGTCCAAATTTGCCCCAAACCACATTAAGTTTTGAGTCTGGACCTGAGCACCAAAAAAATTTTGTGAGGACCCAACTCGACCCATGTCAGTTTTCTTGTCTGAACCTGAAATGAGCCTGATAAAACTTTATCCAGACCTGACCCACATCAGGTTTTGGGTCTGATCCCAAGCCCTGACAAAAGTTTGTCCAAACTTGCCCCAAACCACATTAAGTTTTGAGTCTGGACCTGAGCACCAAAAAATTTTGTGAGGACCCAACTTGCCATTTCTTGCCTGAACCTGAAACAAGCCTGATAAAACTTTATCCAGACCTGACCCACATTAAGTTTTTTTAGTACAAAACCAAAGCCCTGACAAGATTTTGCCTGAACCTGACCTGCATCAACTGTTTGAATACAACCTGAGCCCTCACAAAATCTTCTCTGAACCTGACCCACATCAACTTTTGAATTTGAACCTGAGCCCCAACAAAATTTTGTCCAAACTTGACCTGAACCACCGTTAAGTAATCACATGCGTAGAGCCCACCCACCAACTCCCTCATCAGTCCGCCAAAAACTTTGTGGGATACGATTCAGTCTATGCTGTTCAAAAGATTGAGGGCCCCTGTACTATAGAATCAAAGCTGAATTTCCAGATTCTTCTGTAAATAAAATGATCTGGTGATGCTGCTGTTTTGTAATTAACAGTGTACTGTCTTCCTAGTATGAAATCAAACTGCATATTATTGCAAATGCTTCAGTTTTGGCTGTGCTTGATGTGGGATGAAGGTCGTCTGAAGTGCAGCATTCAGTGACAATTCTCCCTCTTCAACATGATCCCATTCATGATTTTCAAAGCCTCTTATCATATACAAAGGGCTGTAAACAGCCCCTTCAGAGTTATCTTGCCAAGCTCTGAGCAGCCAGAGGTTAATCAAATGTCCTCTATGCTTGCAGGTTAAGAGCTTAGCGATGCCGAACCACGCAGTGTCCTTTTTGTTTAGTGGTATCCACCTGTCCATTAGGCCGGTGTAATGGCAGGGTACAGATGAGATTGGAAAATGGCATCTTGCATGGAATTCATCCCATCTCTAAGTGTAGTGGAGATGACACATACCTGATACCACCATAATGATGGCCTGGGCGCACCATAGAAACATTTTGCAAAATATCCCTCTTGAGGTTGAGACATAAGCCTGTTTGTATGATGTCCAAAAACATATTTTAAGAACAGCATTCTGGACTGTTCAGCTGTGCACTGTGGGATACGAGACAGGAAGGATGGAATTGATTCAGGTGGAATGGATTCAGTGTTCTTGCTTTTTAATTATGTACCAAATAGTTGTTTGGCTGCACATAATGCTTTTGCTATCTCTCTGATGGATTTGTTTTGATTTTTCAGCCTAATGATGATTTGCTTCACCCGCAGTAAAGCTCTTTGGACTTCATGTTGAGAGTTAACCCTCTATTACATGGTGTTGCCAAATGGCAACAATTACTTTATCTCAATTTTACTAAAAATCAGTAATAAAATTGGTGTTTTCCCATTTAATTGTGGAAAAAGGGTCTTTTACTTTTAAACGACAAATTATTTGACATCACATGACCAGGAATTCTTAGTATGATGTTGTTATTACCATATATTCCAAATACCAATTGAAATATACTTTTTTTATATTTACAATATTTGTGAATATTGGGTCGTACATTTTTACTAAGTATAAGTTGGATTTGTTTGGTCTTGTTTTTTAATAAAAAAGATGTTTTTAGAGAAAATTTTGATTTTTGTGGTGCTTTGGTGCTATGGTATGATTGTGCATTGTTGCCATATGGCAACAATTTACCAAACACCCCACTTAAAAAAATATCTATATATTTCTATTATTTAAGCCATTTTAAATAACAAAAGCATGTTAAAACATTTTTACCATGTTTAAGTAAAAATTCCTGCAATAGAGGGTCAACAGCAACAGATTCCAAATGTGAATGCCACACTTGAAATCAGCTCTAGAACTTTTTTCTGCTTACTTGTAAGTGAAATAATGAGAGAGTAACACACACCTGGCCATAGAACAGCAAGCAGCCAATTTTCCAATTACTTTGAGCCCCTAAAAATGGGGGCTGGTTTGTATGAAAATGGTTGGAATTCTTATGCTGTCCAAACAGTTTGGAGGTAAATACCCTCAAATCCAAGCTGTACTTTTGGCTCATGCTATGGTGGACAGCTAATATAGCAGTAACTTTGTCAGTGTCCAACTATTTAGGGACATGACAGAAGGTGTCGTGTCAACTTGACATCAAAGTTGACAAAAGCAGCCTTTATGTCACGCGATGCCTGTTGGATTAGGTTTTGTTTATGTTTATAAAATTGATATCACATTTTAAAGCAAGACGAATGTAGAAGATTCCAAAATGTTTACCTATGGTCAAACAGCATTCCTGTAGCATGTCTTAGAAACGCTTTTGGATTTAGGTCAAGGGTGCACTGCCTTGGTTATCAAAGGAATGGGGATTACATTTTCTCATAAAGGTTCTACCACTAATCCTTACCTCCATTCCTGCTGGGTTTCTTGAGCATTGCACAAGATCATCATTATTCCACCAAAATAATGAATGTCAATGAATGTCACTGCTCAGTATGTCATTAATAAATGCTGGGTCACTCAGGTTAATGCAGGCATGACACATTTCCACTCTGGTCATGGCGGACACACGCTTTGATGTCATCTTTGATTTGCTGGGATCCAGTGAATGGGACCAATAAAGGTGACCTAAGGTCGGCCTCTCTGCTGCGGATTTGAATCGATTAGAGTAACGTTTGATGTAATTCAAGTAGGTTTAACTAAAACATCCTGATCGTGAACCTGTAATTACAGCGAGCCTGTATCTGATAGCCTCAGTGGCATTAAAAGCACCGCAAGGAAGACTTTCGAATTTTAATTACAGTCTGCAGCCTCTGCGCTTTTAGACACATGTCATCCTAACAAGCCAAAGCTGATAATCCAACTCCTCAAGGTGCGAAAGGCTGAAGCAGTGCTTCATATGACATTTTAAAGGGCTCTTTGCAGGCAGGACACTTGATACAATGAGAGAGAGAAAGCGTGGGGTGCATTGTTTATCCATGGCCTTAGTAGTGGAACCCCCCTGATGCCTCTCGAAAGGACAATTTGCATCTCGGTCTATTCTGTCCCCCGCTTCGAAATGCCAGAACTCAAAAGGGCAGCGCTCAGTCGATAAAAGACCGTCCTTCTAAAACTGCTTGAACTCGGGGGAGCCAAACCCAAGCTGCGTGGCTTCCATTGTCACGTATTTCTGCGGCGTCTGAGCCAAAAGGAAAGTGAAATTAGCACCTTCTACATCAAGTCCTTCTCTGTCTCTCAAATGGCCTCATCACTAATTTAGTTGCCCGAGTGGATAAGAGTTACAGAGCCTGGCTGGGCGAAACTGTAACAGCAAGCCTGTCATCTGAGTGGCCCTATCGCTCTCCTGACATGCACTGTTTGCATATTAATATGCTGTATGACAAATCGGGTCGTCACGTTACTGTGGCGAAGCGGTCATGTGAGCCTGAGCCAGGGGCTCATCGGAAGGTGTGAGTTTCGAGTGATGCATTCGGAGTATGGCATGCGACCCCTAATTGCTCAGTCAAATTTGTGTCAATTATCTGTTGCTCTTAGTAAACCTGAGAGCATTACAAGTACAACCATTTTTCAATAAGCCAGCTTACAAATAGTGTTGACCTATGTCAGCATCCAGCAAGGTCAACTGTGAAGGTTTCGTATTGCCTTTTGTAGGAGGAAGGACACGGCTTTGAGACTCCTACCCTAAATTCGCACCTGGTTTTAAAAGCCATACAAAACTGGCCACGACTAGTTGCTCAAACATTAGTAAATTGAGTGGAATTTGTAACCAGCTACACTTCCAACATCTCCACCATTTTTCTGTGCAGTTCTCCCACATTCTGTGCAACCCTTCCTTAAATGCATATGCATGAGCAATTTTCCATAAACTTTGCATTTAGGCTTTGACATCTAATTGCACATTAAATATACTCCTCATCAGCTGAAACTCAGGCTCCTTAGTCTTTGGTATGTTTGTGGGCTGATGAAGACCCTAAAGAGGTGACTTTCTCAGAGCCTTTGAGGACTTGTTAATGCAATCAGCCCCCCTTCATTTTGCCGCATCCCATG